CCTACTGATTCTGATTTCTGAATGAAGTAAGATGTTAGTTGACTGATTACAAGGAAAAATATGAGAGCAATGGCATTGCTACGAATAAGAAGCATCACAATTTCATTGGTCTAATCGGGTTTAAAAAGATGTGGTTGCAGTTATACAGTAGTTTCACATATGAGCACCACATTGCAATTCAGACAGTTGTATAGAAAGTGCATACTAGTTATACAGTAGTTTCACAAATGAGCACCACATTGCAATTCAGACAGTTATACAGTAGTTTCACAGATGATCACCACATTGCAATTCAGATAGTTGTATAGAAAGTGCATACTAGTTAATTTTCAGAGAAGAAAAACATTTGAAGTAATAACTCTTGAATTCCATGAAAACAAAGATACCAAACAACAGAAAAAGGAGCACACTGCAGTTTGTACCTTTCATAGCTATTGAGTATGCCATAGCGTTGCACTTCTGCATGCAAGAAATATAACAATAATTCAGTCAAAACATAATTTCACACTTCAGAAATTGATGGTCACTTGAAGTTGAATCATCCATTCATCCCCCAAATCCAACAAATTGAATGGCAATAAGAACAGATTAAGCAATTCACAAATAATCTTACTAATAAGAGATCTAGTTAAACATGTGAAAATAATTATCAAGCTCACTATATCAAAAGCATGCAAGATGAAAATCTGCATTAATCAAGGTGAAAAGTACTTAGCTATTGTGCTGCCACACTGCACGACCTTTTGCCAACCTGAAAGCACAGCCATGAACTGGATATACTACTGCTGAACTGCTCATTGACCACAAGCAAGCCACAAGGAATAAGTTAAAATAATTAAGTACACAAAGAAGGCCATGATTACTTCCCTGCTGCAAAATATGTCTCACTCCAACATGTCAAGCACCAAATCAAAAGGCAAATGTTAGCTTGATGCTGCTACAATAGCATGACAATGGAGTAGTTGAAAACATACTGTACTCATAACTTATAGCTACTTTAACAAATTTTCAGATCAGTACAACAGTACCTTATCGATACCTGAACATATAGTAGCACATGAACACATAATAGATAATAATACAAAACAATTGACAAGTGATGTCTAATTATCATTGGTCATCACAACATGAGACTACAGACCAAAGAGGCACTGTCACTTAGTTCATAAGTAAAAACACTTGTTCTCACAGGTAAATGATATCAAGACGCCTAGTTCTCAATTCTGAATTCTCACAGCAACAACGAAGACAATTAAACTCAAAACTCATAGGCAACATAATACATGAAGATTAGCCAGCCATGCAAATTTTAGCAGCCCAGCATGTAGTTGTGAGTGACTCCATACTTGCACCGAATATCACTAGAATTCCTCTTTAGGTTCATGGGTTTGCTAGTGGAAACAGAAGGATTCGATGCGGCAGATGACATCCTGCAATTGCAAATTTTCAGAAAGTGCTTACAAATCAGAATTTGTATACAAATCACGAACTAAAATTACATGAAAAACATTTTTTATACAATTTCCATGCGAATGTTGGGATAGAAATTCACAAATCACATCTACTCTATGTATGCGAGCTGGTATTTTGAGATTGACGATGCTAGTGTAGACATATATATTTCTATTTCTAGTGAGCATTTGCTGTTTTTGGACAAACGAGCTGTTGTTTTTCAAGTACAGGATAGGCAACAATTTACATTAGCAAAGCTACTGAGCACAACACCGAACATGGACTAAGTAGTAATACACAGGTAGTGCACACAGAACATTAAAGAAACAACGGAATTTACAATACCACCTAAATCATAGCAGTTGCACTGCGCTTTTGTAACAGCGGAGGGATTTGGGGGAAGCGAGTGAGAGAACTTATCTGGTAGTTTTGGATCGGTAATCCGGGTGAAGGACACCAAGAAGGACAGCACAGGAGACGGTGGCGGGGCAGAGGATCTGGATCTGTTATGATAGTGCCGGGAGATTAATCTAAAAACCAAAAAGTTCCTTAGAAGCCACATGGACCCAATTTTTCCTGCACGTATTTTTTTCCTGAAACATGCAAATCAGAAGATAGCAGTAGATGAGCAGAGGAGCAACTGCATTCTATAGTGCTAATCCTAACCTGTTCATCCTAGGGTCTGTAGATGAACTGAGAAGGAACGCTATCAGCACACCTGAGCACCTTCTCTAGGTCGAACTGCAATAGGTGGTCCTCCATCTGATGCCGCCCCCCCCACCACTGAAGACCGCCACACCATCGCCGCCGGCCCTGAGGAGGCAGAGTAGGAACCTGAGTACCTGACGTCAAAGACTATTGGTATGCAGATGCAGCAGCGCGGATCTGAAAAACCACAGGACCTTGTTGTAGTTCGCCGTGACACCGTCCACCATCCGCGAGCTCGAGTACGATTCCATCGTCCGCCTACTCTGATCCATGGCTGCCCCAATCGGAGGGAGACCGAACCCACGGTCATGGCCGGATCTGGCGTGGACCGGGTCCGCTCGTCGACGACGAGAGGTGTGGGGGATTGGGGGTGAGCGGCACGTGACGTGTCGTACCGTTGGAGGAAGGCAGGGAGGAGTTGGATCCGCAGGATTAGGGAGGCTGCCCCGGCGTGGATTCGGCAGGGTCTCTGGAGGAGCTTGTGTCGGCGGTGTCGGCACGGCGGGCACACGGCGGACGACCATTGGGGGGGGGGCTCTGGACGGGAACGTGGATGCCGGAGGTAGACCGTGGCCGTGGGGAGGTCTCGGGCTCTCGAGGGTTGGGGTGGGGGAGAGGTCGGCGTTTTTTTTCCGACTGAGAGGGCGGCTGTTCAGGAGAGGGTGGCGGCGTGGGTGTGGAGATTTGAGAGAGTGAAGGCTACGTGGAGGTCATTTTAAATTTTCGCTGCAACCAGGGGGCGGGAGTTACCCGCCAGTTCAACTTTTAAATGATTTTTTCGCAGACATATAATCAAATTATAAAAAATGTATTATTATTTAGAATAATACATAGGTAAACATACATTAGAGTTTTTAGGTAAATGTTTGGTACATATCATCTACAGACCAAAATCTATGACAAAAAAATCAATGCGACTTATAATTTAAAATGGATGGAGTATTTGTTTACCATATAATTAGAAGAATAAACAAAGATGTGTTAAGATCAATTCTTGATAATAAGAATGTATTTTTGGTTTTTGAGCATGCATATGGAATTAATAACTAGCCAACTATAGGTAATTGTCTCTAGTTTTTTCTCAGGATGTTGAAGATATACGAATGTACTGATATGTAGTAATGTTTATCTACACCACATGCAATTCTTAGGAAGTACTCTCGGTAAAAGGCTTTAAATATTTTAAACCCTAAGGAAGGAAAGAGTTATGACTAAATCGTTCTTAGACAAGCATAACAAATTGTGAGATCGTTAGATAATCATAAACCTACCGATATTGAAAGAGTCATGACCAGTAAAAGTAAAACTCGAGAATGATGAAGTCACCACATGTGCCTCGCTGTCGACGGGAACATTAAGACCCATTGACAAAGTCACGGCAACTTTTACAAAACTCACAGCTAACAACTAAACCAAATAGCCCCATGAGACAATTGAAACTACCAAGTACAATAAACAAGAATTAAGAACCTGGGTCCAACCACTCTCCCGTGTGTGGTGGGTCCAACATCACAAACAATTGTGTTTTTTTTCAAGTGCCACACGTCATCCATCCATGAGGGGTCCAATGATCACGAACTTTATACCAAAGTTGTAGTGCGAGCTCAAACTTTTTGACTTGAGATCATTTTGATGCCTAAAAAGCCATCACAAGATTTTATGGAGTTCATACCAAAGGAATCTATATGTTATATAGTCACAAGTGATTGTGTAGTATTAGAGAGTGATCTCCGATGGTGAAACAATCAAAACAAAATGTTCTAGATCTCGATAAGTTATGAAATTTTGTAATTCACAATTTTGTTTGAAGTCGCTTTGATGCCGAAATATTTGACTCACAAGATTTTATAGAGTTCATACCAAAGGAACTCCTATGTTCTATAGTCACAAGTGTGTGTGCAGACATAGTGAATGATCACGAATGGAGGAGCGACCAAAGCAAAAGTTGTGGATCTCAAAAACATATGCATCTTTATTGTTGACAACTTTTGCATTTGAAATAATCTATCCAACGAAAATTACGTTTGAATTTTCACATTTGAAATTTGATTTTTTCAAATGACCTCGGATGGAGAAACGACCAAAACAAAGCTTGTAGATGACAAAAAGTTATGCACCTTTTTAGTTCACAACTTTTTCATTTGAAATCATCTATCCAAGGAAAACTACACCCGAATTTCCTCACATTTGAAATTCAAATTCTTCAAACGACTTCAGATGGATAAATGATCAAAACCAAAGCTGTAGATCTCGAAAAGTTATAAATTTTGTAGTTGACAACTTTTTCATTTGATTTCGTTTAGGGTTGCAAATGCTCATTTAAAACCAAATAAATATAAATTGGGGAGGACGAATATCTAAAATGGATACAATTTTCTTATAGGTGGAGTGGTTAGAAGATGAATATGCAAACCTTGAGGTTATGGGTTCAAATACTAGTGGCCACAAAATATGCATTTTTTGCGTGGCACGCCTAAGCCTCGCTAGAAATTGATTCGATTCTTTTGAAACTCCTACATAACAAAAATATATATAGGCTATTACATATAAAAAAAACTTTGGCACTTGTAACTATTTTTAGGATTTGGCCTTCTCTATCCAATCGAAAATAAAAAAACATAATCAAATCATTCACCTTGATGGCATACCACGCAAATGCAAAGTGACGTGATAAACACAAAAAAAACACCTCCCACTATATAAGTGAACGAAATAGTAAAGAGTGATTTTATACAACACTAGAAAAAATTATTCAATTTGATTAGTTTAGCCAAAAATAAAAAAATGAATGTCACGAATAGATAGCCAATATTCAACCAGAGCTGATATGTTTGTCTGCCATGGTAAATTTTAAGTAAAAGATCAAATGTTTGCAAACTTCACAATCTAATTATCTTGGTCACCTAACTATTTTTTACTTTTAATAATATATAGACATATCATATGAGCTTATAAATAGAAAATTTGGCACTTGTAGCTGTTTTTGGACTCGGCGACAAAATAGGCGCCAACAAATCCGAACTTTTGGTGCTTGGCGGCCAAACTCGCGCCACGGCCCCCCCCCTTTTTTTTTTTTTTTGCTCGTACCACTCCCGGTACACAATCTATCCTATCAGATCTGCCTGTCTCCTATCAAAAAAAAAAAGACCTGCCTATCACCATTCACCCTCCTCTTCCATCTCTCTCCTGCAATCTCTCGTTCTTTCCCGAAAGAAGAAGCTAGCGGCGGTCCTCCTCCGAGCGCATCCCTACGGCCCGGCGGTGGTTCTCCTCCAAGCGCACCCCCACGGACCGGCCGAGCACCACCTCTCCGACCCGGCGGCGCGGCTCTCCATCCCCGACCAGGCGCTGCGCTCTTCGTCCCCGACCCGGCCATCTCGCTCCTCTCCGTGTTCTCCACCGATGGACACAGACCCGGCACCGGCGGAGAGCACAGGGTGGCGCGGCTCGGCAGAGGAGTAAAAGGACGCGGGGGCAACCAGCACAGCCGCAAGATGCCGATCTCCTCGCCACTGCCGCCTCCGGCTTCCTCGCCACTGTCACCGTGCCACTGCCGATTTCCTCCCCACCACCGCCGACTTCGATGGTAAGTAATTGATTCAGTGTGTACAGATGCCTCCAAGTACTCTGTGAAATGAATTCGTAGTTGATTTAGTCTGTGAAATGAATTCGATTGGTAGAGATGCCTGCAAGTAGCCCCAAATCTTATTCATGGTTCATCTTGGCAGAGCTTCAGGTTTTCAGCATTTGATTTAGTCTGTGAAATTGCAATTGTTTTATAGTGCTATTCTTGCCTGTGTGCAGATTTCTGGGCATGATTTTGTTTCTGGCCATGATGGAGTCACATGAGCTTTTTTATATGTATCTAATATGTGATATCTGTGATCTGAACATACACTTTATATGTATTTGGAGACACCTAAACAAAGCAATGAATAAATTTTATATTGTATATGTTTTTGCTCTATTTTTCCATGAACTCGAGGCCAGGATGCTAAATGTGGAAGCATCAAAGGAAAAATTAAGTAGCATCCAAAGGGCGGGCCTGGTGCAAGCGGTAGAGTCTTACTGCCTGTGACCGGAATGTCCCGGGTTCGAGTCGCGGTCTCCTCGCATTGCACAGGCGAGGGTAAGGCTTGCCACTGACACCCTTTCCCAGACCCCGCACAGAGCGGGAGCTCTTTGCACTGGGTACGCCCCTGAAGACAAGATTGTGTTTTTCATTAGATGATTCTGAAAATAAATTCCATAGTATCAAGGAGGTATTCATGTGAATCTTGGACAGCTGAGCTCCACAGTGCGTTGCTGCACATTTATCTCTGAACAAATCATAAACCTAATTTTGTGTGAAAGATAAGACAGGCTGAAATACATGGATAAAGACATTTGAATAGCTATAAGAAAACTGGGTCATAAAAACCTATCTTAGGGACTACCTAAATATTAGCTGTCATTATTCTTTCTGTGCAGAACTACATGAGGTATGCCTGCTACAATCTGCATCCTAAAGCTCAATGTGGAACACAATGACGGAAGTAAATATGCACTATCCTTAAGGCGCAGAAGCCTCCGATGGAGCCATACGGTATAAGGATCAATACATATTTAGAGCATGTTATGAACTTATGATATGATTCACACCCTCCAATTCATAGATACTGTTTGCTGAAAAAACTGAACTTTCTGACAAGGTTCTAGTTTGTTTAACACAACAAATCCCAAACTTTTTGTGGTTGTCATGATAGGATATGAATCAAATGTGATAACTTTCCTCTTTAAAAAGCTGTCACAAAGTAATACTGATCCATGTGTTTATACTGTTTAATGTGGTAGCTGCCCTTAGCTTATTGGCTGCTCCTCAGTTCAATAGAAGCTATCCAGCTATAGTGTAGAAGCGAGTAAATGCTATGAGAATTGGTGTTTATTTTCTAGGAGTTACATTCATTTTAGAAGGATCTGTATGAATACCAAGATTATTCATGGCTGCTGCCATTGATATGCATGGGCCAAAATATTTTCTCTTTATACTGGTCATTGGTTGTAAAAGGTTTTGACAATCAGTATAAGCTTGGGTGCTTTGCTTTGTGCTTGTATTTCTATCAATTTGTTTCCTGCTGCATGCAGTGAGAGTTTGTACGAAGACGAGGAGTTTGTCCAGAGGCAGCTTTTAGCACTAGTTGCCCCTAAGGTGTTTTTCTACTTGGCCGAGCTAAATGGTGCTCTGTCGTATGCACTTGGTGCTGGACCCCTGTTTGATGTTTCTGATGACTCTGTTTACGCTCAAACACTGTTAGGTAATCTGCCTGGTGCCTGCATTATGACTAGTTAATTGTTGATAGCACTAAAAGTACTGTGTTAAACATTACCTCCTTTGCCCTGTTTCTTTTTTCAGCAAAAGCTTTGGATGAACATACTGCCATCCAATCAAGAGCCACTGGGGAAGAAAAAACGATGTACAGTGGCTGCAGGCTATTGTGGAAAGGATGCTGGACAAGTATGATAGTTTCCTCATGGTCCATTGTTTCAGGAGTGCATCTTTATTGCGTCTATCCTGTAATCTATATTATTTTACCCAACATGGCAAATTCTTGTTAGGGTGTGGAATGCTTCTACATTGTTCCTGCCTAATATGTTATGTGGACCTGGTACATGATATCATATACAAGACTTGGAATTCATAACACTGGTGCTAAGGACACTGAAATTTATATTCTAGATGCTATCATAATTACATTGTCTATTATCTACATATATTGAGAAATTTATAATCTGTGTGGGCATATTTGTATCTGGTACAGGCACAGAAGTTATGAGGTACAGTATCTGGTGTTGGAAAGTCTCTGAAGATGCAAAACCCAGGTGTCAAGATCATCTGTATTCAGGTAATACACCATTCAGAAACATCAAATAGGTTAATATATGGTCTTTAGAACTTATAATGTGTTTTATATTGGGATTTATAGCCAGAGAAAAATGTTTCATTGAGTTTATCTATGGTTCCAGGAAAGCTTGTGCGATCAAAGTTGGAAGCTCCTTTACCAACCATCAAGTTCAGGAGAAGCTCAAGAGCAGCTGCCACTTCCCTTAAATAACATCATTTTTTGACAACACCTTAAATAATATCATTAACCCTGCGGACACATTTGCAAAGTATTGTGACTGTCTATGTATAATATGCTATGTTCCACCATCTCAGCCTAGAGACATTGGAACTTTATGTGAGCTATACTAAGACCTATATTATTCGTGTGTTCTATGACTCATTTATGTAAAATATATGTAATGTTCCCCTCAAAAAAATATATATGTAATGTTCAAACATCGCAACATTCAGTCTAGAGATTGTGCTGAGGAGCGACTCTGTTTTATGGCAAATTTTGGTTAGATCATGATTGTCTACGCATGTTGTTTTATGGCAAATTTTGGTTAGACTGTGATTGTCTACACGTGCATGGGCGCGCACAAATCACTAGTATCATTTAAAAGCTAGACTGAAATGCCTTCTTTTGTGGCCATTCTATGCATTTTATAATATTGAGAATTTTTTTGAGTGATTACTTATTTGATTTAACTTTTTGTGGATGCCATACATGACTGTTTTTGCATAGCCTTTTTGTTAGACTCAAAACCACAAAAAACGCTTGCACTTATGTTTTGAGCATATTACATGACATTATGTTGTAAATTTGACCGGTATTCATGTTGAACCAAAAAGATGAAATTCTTGACCAACCTATTCAGTGGTAGGTTAGTGTGTTCATGCAACAACATAAAAAAATATCAATATTACTCACATTTATTTTCACATTTTTGTTTTTTATTTTTTAGTTTTTCCTTCTTCGTTGTACTTGTTCTTGTGATTTGGCATCTAGAGTGTCTTGAGTTCGGCCTAATAAATTTTGATAACAGGTTCTGGCATCGAACTTATCTTTTTAATTGCTTACTCATTGCTACTTGGTTCTCATGTGATGATCACAATGTGATTGCCTAACAGCCTCGACGACACCTAGGTGCGATGACCGTGATGCCTATGAATAGGAAGGTCCACATGTACATGTTTCTTTGTAACATTTAGACTATAACATTATTTTGTGTTACTACAGGGCATATATTTGTAACACATTTTATTTGTTCCATTTATGTGTTACAAAATAGTACACTTTTGTAACATTTTGCTTGTAACATTAATTTTATGTTACTATAATTATTGCCAGTAACACATTTTTATAAAAAAGGTGTTTTGTGTTACAGCCGAAGTCTGTAACACACTATTTTGTGTTACTATGAGATTTCACTGGAACACATCGATGAATATGTTACAAGAAAGTGCTACAGTATCCTTGTTTTGTTTTGTAGTAGTGTTTACCACCGTATTAGCCAGACCCAACATCCACCGGAAGCGCTGCATCCTACTTTCCTTCAGTTTTGTCTCTAGCAGAAAAAGGATGTCTACACACCCAGACTTCTGGAGTTCCAGAAGCCCTGAAACTACCCGACAGTTGCCCAGACCTCCGGCAATTCCAAGCGACAAGCTTCATTGCTTCTTGCAGACCTGGTCTTCCAGCCCTGCTTCATTTTCAGTGCCCACCAGAAAATGAGACAAAGAAAATATAAGTATTTTTAGTGTCCACTAATAAAGAGAAGAGATCATTTTCATTTCCAGCGTTGTGTGGCCAATTTTGACTTTAATAAAATGGGGATTTCTGGTTGACTATTGGCTACCGACAGCCGACCGGCTTCCACAACCCACAGAAAATGGGTCCGGAGGGCTCCTATAGGGTTAGAGTTGTGGCCAATTTTTGGCTTAGGGCATGCCCAATGGGACCAATTCGCTAGCCTGAGCACAAATTCTATTGGTTGAAAACGGAACTGAGCACCGCGCTAGCGAGAGAGCAGTAGCCTATCTCGCACGTTCTTCGAATTTTTTTCTCTCACAGCAGGTTCTGCTCCATCTCCTGAGGTCCTTTCTTTATTATTTTCTTAGGTTACATCGCTGGCTATTTGTCTGCCATAGTTGGGGACGCCCTTAATAAAAGGGTTATTTGAATTCTTGCCATTACAATTTCTCCAGTTTTGAAGAATGCCATTACTATTCGTCTTATTGGAAACTTACCATTACTATTCTGCTTTCCCCTCACCCTTGCCCTTTTCTACATCTGGAGCGTAGCTAGGCCCACCTGCAGGTGCCATATTTCCGTATGTGCCCGTATTGCCCCTGCACGAGGTGGTGCAGCCGAGGGTCTCGACGCTAGGCAGCTTCCCGACGAGCGAATTCTTGGCAACCATCTTCCTGGCCCCGAGCGTGAGGCAGGTGGTGATGACGGCGGGCAGGCCCTCAGGTATGGCGGTGACGGCGAGCGCGACGGCGATCTCAAAGTAGTAGGTGCACTTCTCGAAGGAGAAGCTGACGTTCCTGAGCACCCATCCCCCCTGGAGGTCGAAGGTGAGGAAGTACTTAACGTTGATGAGCCAGATGAGTGCGCAGATGAGGCCGATGATCTTGGTGAGCGCCTCCCCGAACTCATTGAGCTTCTTCTTGAGTGGCGTGTCGTCGTCCTCCTGCGACGCCTGGTGGATCTGTGCGTGGATGGCGCCGATCTCCGTGGCCATCCCGGTGCGCGCGACGATGCAGAGCGCGGCGCCATTGACGACGGTGGTGCCGGCAAACACCATGCACTCCTTAGCCTATATATCAGCGTCCTCCACCGGCAACGCGCGGGAGGTATTGTTGACGGACGCCGTCTCCCCGGTCAGCGACCCTTGCTCGAGGCGGAGCATGGAGGTGAGTAGGCTCGCGACGCACATGTCGACGGGCCACCTTATCCCCGACGCGGAGAGCTGCACGACGTCGCCAGGGGACGAGGTCCCTACGCGGGCGTACTGGGGACCCGGCCGCCGTCGCGAAGGACCGCGGCGTGGTGGGGCGGATCTCCCGCAGCCGCGTCCAGCGCCCGCTTCACGTTGGCCTCTGCCACACCCGGCGACCGCGTTCACGACAAGGATGAGGAAGATGACGAAGCGGTTAGACGAATGGCGGCGAGCATCGGGCGGCGCCCGAAGAGGCGGAGGAGGTGGTGGCGCGCGGCGATGCGCACCAAAGATGTCCTCGAATCGGTCAGCGAAGAAGCAGCAGCGGCAGCAGCGACGGGGCCGGTGTGCTCCGCCACTTCGTTCGCCCGTGGATTTGGGCAGCCAGCGCCGTGGCCTCGGCAGAGGAGAGGCCGCGAGTGATGGAGACCCCAAAGCGCTCTCGCGATCCGACACCGACCACGCCCACGCCGGGAATGCAGATAGGTCATCCGCGACGCCGCGGTGGCGCGTGGCGAACACCGAGCAAAGCAGCGGTGGAGTCAGGTGGTTGGTTGGTTGGCGTGCGGTGCGGAGAGCCGGAGACCAGAGCGCGCCGCAACGAACCAAGCCGGCGAAGCGAGGATGGCAATGCCTGGCTGGGGACGGACGGATGAAGCGAGTGCGTGCACGCAGGCGGCGGAGTTGTGGGAATCACGGCGGGCGGCGGCAGACGCGCGCCATGCAACATCGGCGATGGGGATCGCTTCAGCCTTATCCTCTCGTACAGGGGCAATACGGGCACATACGGAAATACGACACCTGCAGGTGGGCCTAGCTACGCTCCAGATGTAGAAAAGGGCAAGGATGAGGGAAAAGCAAAATAGTAATGATAAGTTTCAATAAGACGAATAGTAATGACATTCTTCAAAACTTGAGAAATTATAATGGCAAAAATCCAAATGACCCTTAATAAAATGGGAATTCTTGTTGACTGCCGACCGGCTCCCACACCCCCACAGAAAACGGGCCCGGAGGGCTCCGGTAGGGTTAGGGCCTCTTTGGCACGGCTTATGCTGGCTTCGGCTTCATCTATTTTGCGCAAATCGAGGTAGTATAACGTGAAGCCGTTTTGTAAGCTGGGGTTAAAATAAACTAGAACCCGGGAAAAACCTCCGACTTCATCGGCTTTGGCTTCGCTGGTGAATCCGTTTTGATGAGCCGTGCAAAGGGACTGTGTGTGCTATTTCGCCCAAACCCCTCCCGATGCCGCGTCCAAAGCGCCCGCCGCCCGGCTTCCCCGCGGATCCCAGGTACCCGCGGCGGTGCACGGCGTCGGCTCCAGCTTCCGCTTCGGCTCCGTCTCCTGGGGGCGGCGCGGCAGGAGGCGGCGCCGGCTGCTACGATCTCAGCCGCGTGTTCGGGCGCTGCCGTGCGCTCCTGGACGACCTACTGCGGCACGACGATGGGTGGGTTTTCGAGGCCCCTGTAGCTTGACCGGCTGGTCCCAGAGCATGGCGCCGCTCACGCCGATGTGAATTCCCCGATGCAGGTAATTCTTGTGGCTATTCTGGTCAAGTTCACTCTTTGATTTCGTGCTTTAGCATTCACTGGACATTGCGTTTATAGTTCAGCAATCTTTAGCAAACTTCCCCCGAAATGCATTCTTTTTCTGAATGAGAGTCAGCGATGATGGCTATGTCTGTGATAATTCTAGGGTATAATGTTGCATGAATGATTGGCCATATTTCGATGATGTAGCTACACACACTACAGTGTGAAGAATTATGGTTCCGAACTGATAGTTCATGGTTGAATGTTTTGGTTTTTGGATTGTCTTGTGTTGTACTTTCTGGAATTCCTCTATTGAATTCTGGTTGGTGGTCCATGATCATCGATCTGTAGATTGAAAATTAATTGGACACGGGATCGAGAATTTTGCCATCTGTGGATCCAGGCACCCTTGCTGGGGTTAGGATTGTAGATTATTGTCCACCGCTCAGGAAAAATGGATTTTCTATTTTATTCTGTTCCTCCAACCATGCTTGTTTGTCGAGTGAGATATGGAATGGAAAATCCTTATGCAGTTTTCATTAATATGTTATGTTGGATAAAACTTGATCTAAACAAGCCATGTAAGTGACTTGGCAGGAGTCAACAATTCTTTAGAGGTATATATATTGTAGAACATGTTGAATTCTTAAATGTCACCCAAAGCTCTGATGTAGTTTTTTTTTGTGTGAATATAAAAGCTCTGATGTAGTTGTGCTATATTCTTTTTCATCAGTGTCCAGTGTCATGCTTCGGTGAGCATACACTGTATGAACTTTGAACTTCCTCCTGAAGTGTATGAGAAATGAGTGTCCGTAGTTAAGAAGCATAACACATCATGCTGGCTGGCTGATTTGATGCTTGAACTAGCCTAAATCGCCATTTTTATTGTTGCATAAACTATAACCTAAATGGCCATGCAAGAGTTTAGCTAGTGTAATATTCCTTCACAATTAGGTGCTAAAAGAATTCTGACTCATTAATAAACTATAGAATAACATTTACTTCTATGCTCTATCTGTGATTGTAAACCTTTTATGGTTGTCAAACTCTTTTAATGGTTTTCTTGCAACATTCTTTTACCTCCTATTTGAGGTAGGTAGGTTGCCTCGTACGGGGTTTGTTTCCCCCTCCTTTCTCTCTTTGATACAGATGTGTTGCTCTCTTGCATGTTCTCGAAAAAAAAACCCCTTAACTTCACATTTCTCCCCCTATTTCTGATTTTATCCTAGTAAGTTTGCCAAAATTTTGCATGAATTAACCATCTTAATTGGTTGATTTGCCCGTTCGTTACATGTATCAAATTGTTGTTGTATTGATTGGCTAATACATGTATACCCCTGTTCATGTACTGTTCTAATTTTTGCATGTAGCACGTAATAGTTGTGCACTAATATTTATTAGAATTACCAAATTAAGGGTGCTGCATCATACATTATATAACAACTCTTATTGAAGTGTTTATTTTCTTTCTTTTTCCTCAACCTCTTTGTTTGACCAAAGGGATGCCACTTCCTTCCTCTTCACCCCCTCCCCCCCATGTTTTACAAACTTTTGAGGTTAAGTATGTGTCGGGTTCTTAAACCCGGGGTCCCTAATGGGCTCGCTTTCCAGCAAAAGCTCGGACCAGCAGACGACATTACAAACGACGCGCAACTCCTGGGCCGGCCCAAATACCTAACGACAGGCGGAAGAGCGATCCAGTCTCCGACCGGAACGCCTGGCCAAGGAGGGTACGACGCCGCTTCGACCGTGACGACCCGCTTTTCCGACCGAGCTAGGCCTGCCAAGGAGGACGACGCTGCTGACTCGACCCCGCTTCTCGACCGGGAATACACCAACCTCTCAACAAGACTGGCTTTTCTCTCGATCGGTAAGGCTATTCCCTTCATCTATAAAAGGATGCCGAATCGATCATTCCGACTCTCTCTCTGAAGACGAGCACTCGACGGCTCGGGGATGCCCGCTTCGGTGAGGACCCAAGAAATCAAGCGGAGCAGATAAGGTAATAAAATCGCTCAAGTCAACCGTATGCCAAAACCAAAGATATAAACTGTGTTGGACCGTACCACACCGCAGGATATTATTCTTGTCGAGCCATGCTAGAAGGGTACTTTGCAGCCTTCCCCATCTTCGCATGTCGAACACAAACAATGTTGTAGGCCTAGACCTTCCTCTTGACATTTGTCCTCTGATGGTAGGCGCCGACATGTGCCATACCGAAGAACACGATGGAGCCTCGCCACATGCATCCCAAGCCAACAATATTATGTGGGCGTCGACAAACTATCTTGTACCCGACGGAACATCGCATGGACAACAAGACTAGGGCACACACTCTCTCTCTCTTGAACTTGTTGGGCTAACACCCCAGGTGTTTTAAATACTTTCCTTCATCTATAAAAGGGGTCATATTGCAATCTCTCCCAACAAAGAATTGTATTGTTTGAATCGATCATTCCGACTCTCTCTCTCATTTCAAAATCTAGCTTTAGACATTTTGAGCACTCGAAAAGCCTTTTAGGCTTTGAAGTAATTTGAAAAGGCATAGAACTCTAAAGCTACAAAAGCAAAGAGATTTTGACGTTTTTGGAGATTTTGAGTTGTTAACACTTAGCGCGTAATATTGATGAAGCTCCCGTCCTCTTAGCCCTTCAAATTTCACCATAGTTCCGATCGGACCTCTAACAACCCCCATCTTATTCCCACTTGCTTTGTAACCCCACAAACTTTCTTCACACTGCAGCTCTTGGGAATAAAGTCACCGATTAAGCGACTCAAATCTCGACGTAGGGCACGTTGTTGCCAAAATCCAGATAAACCATGTGTTGTTGAGTGCTAGGCCACATTCGATCTCTGCGTCGTGTTACAAAATGACAAATATTTACTTGTTGGTCACTTTTTGCATCGCCATGGCCGATTGGCTTCGGCGTCGTCAATCGTGGGGAGGATGCCGACCGTCAGCGTTCACGCTTTTGGTCATCGGATGGCCCACCTTTCACCATCTTCGTCATAGCGGCTCAATTTATTTAGCGCTCCAAAATTACGATTTTGTGTGTGCCTTTGTGATGTATATTATGGCAAAAATTTGCTATTGGAGTTTCCAATTAATTAATAAATGAATTTCCATGCCCCACCTATTGGGATGTGGGTTCCTCCCGTCTTAATGAGCCGTCCCAAGTTGACCTTTTTTAATTAAATAATTAATTCTCTCTTTAATGAAAGTCGGACTTGGGTCATTAGTGGATAATGATCTTTGGCGATTGTTTAAT